TAAATTTTTGTCTTGGTCTTCCCTGCTACCATAGTAGCTTTTTATGGTCAAGTTCTTTTTCTTAGAGTTTGCTCATTTTCTCAACCAATTTCTTCACTTTGAACCTTATGTTAAAGTGGGGTTCTTCTCACTGGGGGTGGGAGGCATCGTGCCATGCCTCAGGTTTTTCTGTGCTACTATTTTCAGATCTAATTCTGGGGGTTTGTAAGTTTTCAGTGCTTCTTATCTTGGGAGAGGGGTAGTCACTGCTCTCTTGGTCTGCATTGTGGTCTATACCCAGAAAGGGCCCTTGCTCCCCTGAAGATGTAAGTACTAGTGCTTTTCTTGGGCTTGGAACCATGACCAGGTCCCCTGTTCTCCTGCAGCTGCAAGAACTGTGACCAGGGTCCCTGCTCCCTTGTGACCAACCACAAGCATGCTTTTCCAACCGTGACGCAGAACTGTGAATGGGCAATAGAGTTGCCAATCAGTGGCAGTAAAGGGTCCCTTGTAATCTCTTTCTGAAGTTGTCTGATCCCTTATCATCTCTGGGCTAAGAGCTCCCAAAGCTGCTGCTGCTGTTGTCATAGTCACCTCAAAGGCTTAATGCTCAGGCTGCACTCTGGGCCTGTGCCCACCTAGGTGTAACAGACCTCTCCTGTGGACCTCTTAAATTGTTTCTGGCAAGAAAAAAATGGCTCCTTCTGACATTTTGTTGGCTCTGCTACTCTAAAATTTGATTTGAGGAATTAAACTTGTTTGGAGGAGGATATTGGAGAATTCATCTGGGTCCTGGCCTGTGCTCTGCCATGTTGGGTCTACCTCCCTCTTTATTTCCCTACTTCTTTTCCTAATTTCCTTCTAGCACTTTGGTGAGGAGAAGGAGGAGATAACCTTAAGTTAGAATATAGCTCAGTAATAATCTATTTCTTCATATATCCCCTCTGTTTCTTAGCCAGTTGAGGACACCAAATGACACCTTACCAGCCCAGGATCTGAGCTATGGGATTGTGAGAGACAACCTTTCCCAGCTTTCTATGTAGTCAACCTATTTCATTGGAACTTCAGGGCCTAAGCACAGGTATCCTTAGCTATCATTCCTGAGATTTTCATTGTCAGGATTGCTCGTCACCATTTTTACAGGCCCATCTATAAACATTATATAAACAGTCAGGACACCTGGGATCAGCTCATAAGTGGAAGAGGAAACAGATACTTGTCATATTGGTAGATTTGAATGAAAAAATTTCTCTACTAAATAATTTGGAACTGGATTTGGGTTGGATTGTAACAGAAGCATACGAGTTCTCTTGTCCCCTCTAGTGAATGAAAATACTATTTGTCAATTTGGATTACCAAATAAACTTAATTGATTTTCATTAGATTTTATTCTGCCAGAGTATTGATGTATAAATTCTCCTTCATCAGGCTGTAGACACAAAGGAAGAAGCAGGGTTTTAAGAAGTTGATTTTTTTTCCTTTTAGGTTTATTGATTTGACTTTAAACAAAGAGAAAAAATATGCTTTTATTTGTAACCATAGTTCATCAATTCTCTATCTGGAGGTGGATTGCATTTTCCATCAGGAGTCTTTTGGAACTATTGTGGATGATTGTATTGATCACAGCTACTAAGTCTTTCATAGTTCATCAACATTATGAAATTGCTGTTATAATGTATATTATTCTCCTGGTTCTGTTCACTTCACTTTGTATCAGTTTACATAAGTCTTCAAAGGTCTTTCTGAAGCCACTCCTTTGGGAAGTAACCTTAAAGGCCATCCAGTTCAATATGTCACCTAATTCAAGAATTCCCTTTATAGGGAATTGTCCATCTCTAGAGAAAGAACTGGAGGATTCTGAATGCAGGTTGAAGAGATTATTTTTTATTTTATTTTTCTTGTTGTGTTTTGTGTCTGTGTTTTCTTTTACAACATGACTTACACGGAAACGTGGTTTGCCTGAAATTGTTTGCCTTCTCAATGAGGAGGGAAGATGAGAGAGGAAGAGAATTTGGAACTCAAAGTTTGAAAAAAGAACATTAAAATTGTTTTTACAAGTAATTGGGAAAAATAAAATATTAACACTCCTCAAAAAAATAATTCCCTTTACACCTTAGATACATTTAGTGATGGAGAGCTTGGCATCTTGTAAGGTAGGCATTCTATTGATGGGTAGTTATGATTATTATAAATGTTTTCCCTTATATTAGGCTGAAATATTTCTCTCTCTATGTCTTCTCCCCATTCCTCCTACTATGAAACAATCAGAAAACTCATCATTATCACATAGTACCAATCCCTCAGTGACTCATCGAATGAATTAGGCTCACTAAATCTCCAACATCTTAGATTGGAACCAGACAGAGTGTTTATGCTCTGTATGACCCACTAGAAAGCACAAATCCAAGCATGCCTTAAGGACTCTGCACTCACTGGATAGCTCATTAAGCCCCATTATATAGCCATTAAAAGTTGCACAAAATATTTTCTCTTCTTTCTTCCTGACATCTCTGAGGTCTACGCCTGAAAAAATGGAAATAATAAGGGTTGGCGTTTTATGCAGTATTTTCATGTTTTGTCATCTATTTCACTATAGCCTCCCAATGACCTCAATGAAAAGGTTTTGCCAGTATTATTATATTGATCTTACAATTGATTTGCCCATGGTCATATGGCTATTAAATATGAGAGGCAGGATTTGAATCCAGGTCTCACTGCTGCCAAACCCAGTACTTTATACACAACACTGTAGTTGGGAGCAGATTCTCTTGTTACTTCAATTGCTATGGCTTTGCTCCTCACCTTTCATGAAGAGAGCCTTGTGAGGGTTGCACTGACCATTACAAAAGAAAGGGCCTTTCTTCTGAACTTGACAGTAAGGGTAGTGATCTCTGCCTCTGAGGCCTTCTGTGTGGTCTGAACCTCACCAGCTCAGAGCAAATGCAGCAGGTTCCAAGGTTAGAACACCAATGAGAAAGTTGTATCTATTTTTAGGGTCTGTATAGCACTAAACATCGAATGTTTGAGGTAGAAACAATTAGCAGAAGATCTTATTTTTCCAATCCTTTTTTTTCCCCCAACAAATATCTCAGTGCTCCTGAGTTTTTAATAGCACAGAATACAGTGACTCATGAAACATGTTTGATCTGGGACACTGTTAATTTCAAGGTAGAATTTTATTTGAAGATTTCTGTTTCTTTGGGATTCCCATTCCAAATATTGAGGAATTGTTCAGCTGTGCCCAAGACACTAGGGATACCATGCCCCCCCCCTTTTTTTTGTACCCAAGTTCATTATTTGGAGTGGATTCTACTCTGTGAAAGTCTGCTTCTCCCAAAAGGGTTTAGACATCTTGCTCACACATTCTTTGGCTTGTTAAATCTTCCTTCCCAGGGATGGGATTGCTTATCGGTGCATGTGTAGGGACTTCTTGAGGCAACTGGTGGCTCAGTGGATAGAGCGCTGGGCTTGGAGTCAGGAAGACCTAACTCCAGACTCAGACCTTCCTAGCTGTGTGACCCTGGGCAAGTCACTTAACCTTTGATTGTCTGATTCACTGGAGAAAGAAATGGCAAACCACTCCAGTATCTTTGCCAAGAAAACTCCATGGAAGTTAGTCCATGAGATCATGAAGAGTTGAACATGACTGATTAACTGAACCACAACATAGACTTCTTATAAAGTAGAAATTAGGGGAAAAAAAGGTATTCAGTGTATACAATATGAATCAAGCATGGGGCAGGTAATCTACATGGAAAAGAAATGTTAAACACAGGAAACTCACTAGTGTTAATTTGACAAAGAAACAAAACAGGATTCAGTAACTTAGCTATTCTTAGAATCTTCTGGATTGATGATACTTAAACCTGATCAGAACATAAAGCAATTAACAGGACTATTGATTAGGCATTTGACAGGCCACCTCATGTCTGCACCATTACATGAATAAAAGCATTCACTGGTGCTCTCTATACACACTAAATCCTGGAGAAAGGATGTTGGAATCTTTATCAGAAACCACAGCATGGACTCAGAGAAAGAAGACCTGGGTTTAATTCTCACCTCTTTTATCTACTCTTTGCATTGTCCTGGGCTTCAATTTCCTCATTCATAAGCCTGGGATAATAGCACCTATCCTACTTTTTTCAGAATGATTTTGTGAAGATGTAGTTATAATAATAAATAATAGATCACATTTATGCAGTACTTTAAAGTTTATAAAGTGCTTTGCATGGGTTATCTCATTTTGCATGGGTTATCTCATTTGATTAAGTGAGAATGTGGATGTGAAAGTGCTTTGTAAAACATCACATTCACAGAAAGTATTAACATTAGTGGGGAGGAGCCATGGAGAAGTTAGAGAAGGAGCTAATATGAATGATAGAACGCTGGGTTTGGAATGAGAAAGACCTGAGTTCAAACTAACCTGAAACACTAACTTGCTGTGTGACCCTGAAAAAGTCATTTGACCTCTGTCTGACTCAGTTTCCTCAGCTTTAAAGTGGTGATGATAATAGCACCTACTAGTTGTTGTAAGGATCAAATGAGATAATATTTTTGAAGTGCTTAGCACTGTGCATGGCACATAGTAGGTACTATATAAGTGTTAGCTATCATCATCATCATCATCATCATCATCACCATCACCATCACTATCATCATTATTGTTAGGATAGATGTTCAATTAGGAATGATGTTAGGGTATTCAAATCCAAACAGTCTTTTCTGTCATTCCGCCTCACTTCTTTGTCTGCTTCTGTCCCCTCTATATCACTGAAACTTTAGGGTTATTCTTTCTCATTTGTTCAAGGGAGTTCATTCTAAGTCATTTCTCTTATTGCAAGCCCTGCTCTAATTGGAAACAACAAAATTGTGCACATTTCCTTTGTGGTTTTCACCACTATCATATAGCTATCACAAATGACCTTTCCTTATTGAGCTCAATCTATATATAATCCTGGACAGCTAGACAAAGTCTCTTTCTCTTTTTTATTTCCTTTTGATTCATATACAGGATCAGGATGGAGGAGTCATCATTTACAAACCCTTCCAGCATCCACGATAAATCAGAATGTCAAATCATTGACCCAGTTATTTCCACCAAACCTTTCCAGGATGTCTTTGTAAAATTTAACATTTGTTTATCCAAATCTAACACAAATCCTTCTGATAAGTTGAGTAACGAGAATATGTTTTCTTTAGTGTTTGAAGGGGGGATTTTGATATCAAGGAAAGCATATTTATAAAGGAGAAGTACATTTGGGTTCTGGTAAGATTAAAGTGATAGCCAATGAATTTCTGATTTGAATACCTAGGAGGGAATTTACTTATGGTTATTTTGAAGATGACCACATGGCTAAGTTGGGTAAAAGCTGGGTTAACTGCCTTCTGGGTTGGGTGATGTGGTCTGTAGAAGGAGTGCTTGACTTGGAGTCAAAAAGGACTGCAATTTCTTTAACTTTTCTGTTTCTTTATATGTAAAATGGGGATAATAATACCCACAGTGCTTCTCTTACATGATTCTCATGAAGATCAAATGAGAGGACATATTTGAAATGTCAAAATAAATGTTATTTGTTATTCTTACTAAAGTTTCTCTTACAGAGAAGTGGACATCCTATTTCTGCTTCTCCTTTGGTTTAACAGACCTATAGGAAAAGTAATTAAGGAGAAGGAAGCATGCTATGTTGGCAAGGCTATCAGGTGTTGTATCAGGAAGACCTGAGGGCCAGTCTTAGCCCTGGTCCTAGCCTTGTGTCACTGCCACAGTTAATTAACTCCTTCAATCCTCAATTTTGTCATTTGTAAAATGAGAGTAACTTTCATTACTCACCGAATTGTTATGAGGAAAGTACTTATAAATCTTAAAATACCATATCAATGTGCTCTCTTACTAGTGATCACCCCACTAGTGTTGTTTCCTCCACTCTATCTTATGAGATGGATGGAATTTGGAGGCATGTAGAACATTTTTCTCCTGACATTTGGAACAGGCTCTTGCTAGCACCTCACAATCTGGTCCTAACGTTTCTCTAGAGGTACATGCCAATCCACATCCTGGTGGGGCAAGACAGGGCTGATGCCAAAGGCTTCTATTTCCTTCACTTTTCCTTCTCTCTGATTCATCCTTGTTCTGTTCTGGTCTTAATTCCTAGTCCTAATTATTCAATTGTCTTTCAACTCCAATTCAAATCCCACTCATTCTCCAGTGTTTGTGTGACTAATTATAGGTTCTCTCTTAACCATCAGAAACTACAGAGCAGGAAGTAAAGATCCTGGTATCTCCTTCTCTTCCTCTTTCTGCTGCACCAGAGGAAGAAGGGGGACCAATCCCCAATGAAATCTTCATCAAAGGTATCATTTGCTTTCAGTTTTCAGTCCATATTCTTTCTTTCATGTGTTCGGTGAATGAAATTTTAGATGGACCAAAAGATGGAGGCAACATGATTAAAAAATAAATAAAAAATGTGATCATGGGACAAAAGTAAAAAATCCATGTTAGCTCACAAAAAAGGTTAAAATATGTACTTCTCTAGTAGCATAAGTGTAATGCAGAGTTCTGGACTGAGTGACATTCTGCAGGTTTGGGTTCTAGTCCTGAATCAATCACTAGATACTGGTGTGACCTGATCAAGTCACTTAACCTCTTTCACTCTGTTTTCACATGTGGAAAATAGATCATACCAGATGATCTGTTAAGATTCTTTCCAGATCTAAAATTCAATGACCTTCTAAAAATAATATGCATGACAATAGCACAATGCTTTACAGAAGGTAGGCACTTTAAAAAAATGTTTGTTGAGTTGGGTTGAATTCTATCCATATTGACAAAAATGAAGCACATTTTGATCAAACTTGACCCTCATTTCATGGAAAGAACCCAGGCCTGCAGGTTATACTAATGAAACAGTGTGTTAACAAATATTCCAGCATATTTGTTTATTTCATTAAGTCATCACATTTTATGACCAGATTCTCTGCATGGTTACTTATACCATGATTCCTTATATTATTAGGGAAATAATATTTACAAGTGTTCTAGAGAAGATAAACTTTTCTATTTGTACATAAAGGTATTGTATATTGTGAAAAATATCTATAAAGCACTATTGGACATAATAGACTTTCTGTTAGCACTGAATTAGTTCATAAATGGGTTCACTGGTGGCTAAAAAAATTGTAACCAAAGTAAAATACTTTGTGAGTCACAAGAAGTCCTCAAACTAAATATTTGTGTATGAACATTTGTACTCTCTCTTCTAAGCTATTTCAACCAATGTGTGTATATGTATATATGTATGTGTACATGTATGTATGTATGTATGTACATATGCACACATATGTCATTACTCAATTGGGACAACTGCAGAAATCCACATAAATCATGGAAATGTCAATAATTAACTAAATAATCATTTTTAACCTTACTGTAGGTCATTTTCCTGGCAGTAAATAGATATAAGCTATAGTGGAAAGAGAACTGTACCAGGACTGAGAAAATCTGGGTTCCAGCTTCAACTTTGCTAAGCTTTGTAAACCTTGTTTTTACTTTCTCTGGGCTTTAGTTTCCTCATCAGTGAAATGAGAGGGTTTCCACAGTACTCCGACCCATTCGGACAACATCTGGCATGCCATATTCAGTTTAGGGGACCACCTTGGGAGGACACTGTGGTAGTAGAATTGGCAGGGGTGGGGGACAGGGTTGGTTCAGACTAGAAAGTTCTGAAGACCCTTCCAACTCCAAAATTCTATGATTCTTAACATCATAGATTTAAGGCTGAAAGAGACCATCTAGTTCCCCTCCCTAACTTTTTTAGACTGAGTATCTCTAGCTCTCCTAAACTAGAAGTGCAGTAGCCATTCATGTGCCTGAACCTACTATTTATTGGCATTGGAGTGATGACTTTTTCCATTTCCATCCTGGGCCAGTTCATTCCTCCTTAGGTAGTTCCTGGGAGCTCACTACATTGGTACTGGGCTATGTAAGGGCAACAGGTTGACTTAACTGACTGCAACTCAGAACTCCTGTGCTCAAAAACTCCACCAGACTCAGATTCCGTGGTAGCAGAGATTACAGGAATGTGCTACTCTGTCTGTCCCTAATTTTTACAGATGAGGAAACTGAGGTCTGCAGAGATTAAGTGGTATTGTCCAGGTTTATGAACATAATAAGCATCCAGAGAAGGATTTGAATCCAAGTTCTCTGATACCAAATCGGTGTACTTTCCCTTTATTGTGCTGCCATATATTTGGTGATCTCTAAGGTGTCTTTGATCCATATCCTTTATTAAGTCGTGTGTGAATTATGAAGTCAGAATGTACAACAAATGAAGCTCCTGTCTCTGCCTCTGCCCCCTTCAAAACAAAAAACAAAAAACCTTACCCACAAGCCTCTATCCCTTTTCCTCCATTTGCTCAGTAAGTCACTTTCAAACTTTGGACAATTTGAGATAGACTATATTTAATTTTTAAAAAATTGTTTTATTCATTCATAAGACAGGAATTCACATCATTTCTAATATTTATTCACTTGTCTGTATTAGATGTTCCTGCTACCTTTTCTCCATGGGCAGTCATTGCAGTGATTCTGGGGATCTTTAGCTTATTGTTGATGATAACATCTGGATTCTTTGGTTACCAATGTAAGTGTTTCAGAGCAACATAAAGAGCAGGAATTACCCAAAATAAGCCCAAGAGTCTCATATTGCTCAATTATTGAAACACTAATTTTAATTTTTAAGCAATAGTGACTATTAGTTTACTGGGATAACAAGACAGAATCAATGAAAGATATGTGAAACAGAAGTCATTAGTGTTGTAGTTAACTTTTTTAAAAGGCCAGACTGAGTTTTTTTTAAATACTGAGATTGTTTAACAAGGGATATTGTAGAATTTACTCTTCTGCACATGATGATGATGACAGTGAAAAAGAGAGAGAAGGAGGAAGAGATGGAAAAAGAGGAGAAAATATATAATAAATATGTTTTCTAACATTATAATATTATGTACTATATACAGTAAATATAATAGATAATAAATATAGTATAATATAAGTAATATATTCACCAGGTTACTTAACTAGACTATAGGAGAGAGGGACAATTTCATGCAATGAATCTATAACTTTAAATTTCCTATCCCATATCTCTCTCATGATATCCTTTGTGGTCCCCTTTCATGTAATTCTTTGTTAGTGATATGTTGTCACCTACTTACTCTCACCATGTATCTGTATTGTAAAGCAAGAATTTGTACTGTAAGTAATCAATTACATGTATAGATTTTATATTGGTGTTTAGATTTTCAAAATATCCAGCAATCAGCTAGTAAGATGGATGACCTCACCAAAGAACTGGAGTCTTTGCTCAACACACTAGAAAACTTCACTGGAACAATGAAGAAAATACAAGAGGGTAACTTGGGGATTGGAATTTGATCTCTCGTCAGAGCTTTAGAGTTCCCTCAGTAATTCTCTGCCTATTGCTTATTGAATTCTTAACTATTCTTTAAAATTAAACTCAAATAATATCTCTTCTGTGACTCCAGCTAGTGATGTCCTTTTCTCCCTTAGGCTGCATAAAGAAATTTGTTTACACCTCTGATATTCACTTGAAAAACAAAAACTTAAAGTTTTTGCACAAATAAAGCCAATGTAGCCAAAATTATAAGAAAAGCAGGAAAAGGGAGAAATCTTTGCTTCATATTTCTCTGATTAGGTGCAGGGGTGGGTAACCTGTGGCCTTGAAGCTGCATGTGGCTCTCTAGGCCCTCAAGTGTGGCCCTGAAGGCCATATATGGCCTAGAGGCAGCAGGTTCCCCACCCCTGCATTAGGGTCTCATTTCTCAAATACATAGGGAACTAAGACAGATTTATAATACTAAGAGTTGTTCCCTAATTGGTAAATTTTTAGAGGATGTAAAAAAGGTAATTTTCAGAGGAAGAAATCAAAGCTATAGTCATTTAAAAAAGGCTCTAAGTCATTAGTACTTAGATAAATATTACATTAAAAAATTCTGAGATACTACCTTATACACATGAGAGTGGTTAAGCTGATGGAAAAGGAAAAATGACAAATGCTAGAAGGAATGTAGGAAAATAAGTACATAAATGGATTGTTGGTGGAACTGTGAACTGGTCCAGCCATCCTGGAAAGCAATTTGGAACTCTGCTCCCAAAACTGTATAGCACACTGCATATAGTAGTCACTTCATCTATATTTGCTGAATTACATAGAATCAATTATTAAATATTTGAGTGTCTCAATGAGGGGAGGGAGGAGGAGCAGACCTTTGTTAGGTGTGGGGTTCCTGAAGATTTGTTCTGCAGTTCACAGTCTTGGAGACTTGCCTTAGGCACTAAGAAATTAAGAGGTTTGTCCAGAATCGGTAGGAGTCAGAGACAGGACTTCAACCCAATTTTTCTTGACTTTGAGGCTACATATTATTTAAATTAAGTGTTTGTCCAAATATTTATTACTTAAGTGTATATATAATTATAAAGTAATCGTGTCAAAGTCTTTTGATATCTGATATTTTGAATAACTGATCATTACAGTGATAAATCCCTTTTGGTTTTTTTTTTGAGAAAGGTAAAACAAACTGACTTGGCCATTTTAGAGTATGATAATTTCTATCTTTTAGATGTTGCATTGAGCACAGCGCGCAAGTGAAATTTGTATTTTTATCTGATTTAAAATTGTTTTGATATGTACCTTATAGACATTTTAGGGAATCTTAAAATCCAGATTGAAAAGCTCTTTGGCATTCTGAAATTGCAGAAGATGAACCAAGGTAATTCGGGATGAAAAATGTTCATACCTGATGACTTTGAAATCACAGTCCCATTCTATTACAGGAACATAAAAAAAAGTAATGCTGTTTCACTGGGGAGACTCTTGGGTATGAGGTTTCTTTAAGAGTAAGAGATCTATGTCCCACTGCCTCTTGATCATTAATACACTAATTCTATAAGCCTCTGATTTAGCCCATTTTTTTTCTAGGAAACTATTCTGCACCTTGTCTGAAACACTGGAAACAGTACAAAGATAATTGCTACCACCAAACTCTCAAGGCTGTGTCTTGGTTTAACTGTTCTAATCTTTGTGTCTCCATGAATTCTACATTTTTACAATCAGGAAATGATATGCTAGTGGTAAGGAGGATGCCTTTTCATTTTGAAAAGTGAGGTTTAACTGCAAAAGGCAATAATCAAGTAAATGACTTATGGAGAGAGAAGAGATAGACAAATTAGCAAGAAGGAGAAGGGGTAGGAAAAGAGAGGAGCTTTTCCTATGGAAGGGAAGATTAGAATGGAGTTCTTATAGTGGCTTAGCCACCCATGGGAATCCAGACGATGTGAGACAATGTTTGGAGATGTCTCTCCAAATTATTTGCATCTAATAGACTTTATTTCATCCATCTTCTTGAAATGCAATAGAAATAACTCTGAAAACTTTTTCTTGAATTCATTTTTAAAGAGGAACATATATAAAACATAATCTTATTTATTTCTATGGACTGGGTCTCCCTGGCTCACCCAGGTTAGAAGCACAGGGTTTACTCATAGGCCAACCCCATCTATTCCTGATCAGCTAGAAGCTTTGACCTGCTTTGTTTGGGACCTGGTCTGGTTCACTCCTTAGGTGGTTTTGTGGTTGGTCCCCTGCTCTCAGGGGCTCACCATATTGATGCTGAACTTACTGGGGACACCCTACTGCAGCTCTGAATTCCTGACCTCAGGCCAACTACAAGCATCAGTTTCCCTGGTAACAGGGATCATAAGTCTACACCACCTCACTCAGCTCAATACAATGATAAAAACTGAGCTTAAGTCTTGACTGACACTTACTAATTGTGTAACCTTGGCCCAAGTAAATTCATTTGAACTTCAGTTATCCAACCTACAAAATATAGTAATAAAAATTGAAATACCTACCTTACAGAGTTGTTGCAAAGAAAGAACTTAAAAACACCTTAAAAGTATTATATAGATGTGCATCGTTGTTTTTATTGCTGTATTATGCCTTTATCTGTGCCAAGAAACCATTGTAAGTTGTGCATTCTGATTCATCACAGGATTCCATGAAAAAGTTTACATTAAATGATACCTGGATTGGCATCTCTTACCAAAGAGACAGTAATGAATGGAAGTGGATAGATGGCTCTTCCTATCCTTTTAGGTAAGGCTCTAGAACAAATTTCAGTTCCTAAAAACCATCTTCACTTTTTATAGCACACAGGCCTTGGGGAAATAGGAAAAAGACTCCTGGAGCTCGAGTTTAGATAGAAGGCAGACCATGAGAATGAGGGCACAGTTTTAACTTGATCTCTTGACTCATTACACTTGAAGATGATTGAATAAGGAGGAAGGTGGATTGCGGGGAAAAGGAGAATCTGTCCCCAAGGAAAGAAGTAAATAATCCCTGTTCCAAAGCTCAATATAAATTTGTAACTCCTCAGAAACCCATCAGAATAAATAGATATATAAATTTTGAGAGTCTAGATATGTGATTTCTTTGGTGGAATTCCTAGTATGGGAACTCCCTCCATCAATACATATTAACAACTCCTATCTACCATGTTAGGGAGATTTCTAAAGTAAAGAAAGTTTATTTGACTTGCCCAAGGTCGTATTGCCAGAGACAGGCCTTGAACTACCTACCATACATGCAGAAAAAGAATGTCAGGGCCAGAATTCCTCTGCCTTACTGTGGAGAGTCAATTTGTTTTGTCCAAAACTAAGAAATCCAAGTCCAGAATCTGGTAAGCCCAGAGAGCACAGAGAGGAAAAAAAAAAGATTTTTAACCAGTCCTAGAATATACTAGATACATTGACTCACTCTAGAACTGACATCCTCCTGGAGCCTTTGTACAACAGTGTGGCCTCAAAGACCAATCTGATCTAGAATGATCTCTAAAATCCTGACTCATAACCTTGAGTTAGGATCAAAACTGGAACGAGGTAGGAAGTTATGAACAAATTTTACAGTGTTTAGTTTTTGGCATTTGCCCAAATGCTGGGTTTTCAAAGTGAAGGACGGAGAAGCGGCATAGAATCAAGTGCTTCTCCTTTCAACAATATCCAAATCCTGGCAGTTATTAGAATCACTTTCTGTCACTCACAACTGACTAAGGCAATTCTCATAAGTATAAAATCTATGTCATTTGTTGCTTCTTCAGTGGCTGTGGAAAATTCCACATAGTAAAGTTTGTGGCCCCAGTTTGCAGCAGACTCATAAGGTGTTCCTCTCTCTCTCTCTCTCTCTCTCTCTCTCTCTCTCTCTCTCTCTCTCTCTCACACACACACACACACACACACACACACACACACACTTCTTACAGAGCATCACTAAAGCCAGAATAGAATTTCCGGGACTTTTGTGTATATATAAAGTTATACACCATGGATTCATATCACTGTAATAAAACTTTGCCTTGTATATGTGAGAAGAAGGCTTTCAGTGCTGAGAATTAAGATAATGTGATTCCTAAAATGTCCCAACAGCATCAAAATTCTGGGCCATCACCTTGACCTATTGTTTTTCTTGCTCTTGTGATTTCTTGTCATTTTGTGATATATCTCTCCATATAATTTTTAAAAAGATTCTGTTTCATATATTGGTGATGGAAGGAGACATATTGTGACTTCTTAAGAGAACTTCAGCCATCATATTCTGCTGTTTTAGAATGCCCTGGAACCAATAAGAGAATTCTTTTAGATATAGTGACTAATGGGATCATTTTGTTTGGATAAGGCTTTATATGACTGAGTTAAGGAAAGCATTACAATAAATGATTTTTTTCTTTGCATTCTTTCTCTCTTTTTTGGGGAAGATGGATTTACAAATTGTGCCTTTCTGTCTGTTGTTTTTCAGCACAGGTATAATAAAATGAAATTAATGACAGAATGACATTTCACAGAATCACAAAACCTCACAGTTGTAAGTATAGTCCAGCAAATATTTGACCAATAATCTCCTTTTAGAGGTTATCTTTCTAAAACTTGGATTACTTTCAGAAAGGGGAAAGGCATTACATAGAAGAATTCTCATAGATTCACAGAATCTCCAAGTCAGAAGTGTAGTATCTAAGTCAACTTATTCCTTCAAGTGGTCCCTTTTGTGTATGGGGGGGAATCAACTCCTGGTTCAAGGTACTCTGTTGGTCTGTATCCACTAAAAAACAAAAACAAAGCAACAACATAACTTGGGAGCCTATGCTAACTAATGCTTTAGCAAATCAGCCAAAGGATACAATTGGTTCAAGACAAAATTATTTAATAAAATAGCATAAGACAAAAAGTAGTAGTAAAACATTTCTTCTACAAACATGGGATACATTAATTCACAAATGTGATGTCTCTCTCTCTCTCTCTCTCTCTCACACACACACACACACACACACACACACACACACACACACTAACACAAAAATGAGTGGGAGAGTAGAAATGCTTAAGGAACATACATAGATGGAAGCCCATGTGGCCAAGCAATATGCGTGGAGGAACAGCTCACTGCTGATGTCTTCTGGTGATATTTTTGCCCTGCACCCACCCCTATAAGACTGGACAGTAGTATTCTCTGTATTGTGGTTCTCCACTGATCTTGTATTTTTGATAGGAATTGCTCAGCTGAGCATGTGATTGTAGAACCTCTCTACCTCTGGCTTCTGACTTTAGCTGGAGTGCTACCTCTTTCCCATATGAGAAAGAATAGATTCTCCCATCTCTCTTTTAGCTTAGATCTCTGTGGCGTAAGTGAGCTGTTTTAATGACTAAGGTCCTTCCAATATCACAGAAGGAAAACTTTTCAGCTTCTTTTTCCTCCTGAAACAAAAGAGATATATATCACTTCTCAGAGTCTTAGTTGTGGGTGGTTTTTCCTCTCTGGAAGAAGAGTTTGTTTCTAGGTATCAAGCTTTTCAGAAATAAAGATTGGTCAAATTAGAGAGACCATAAGAATTCAATATTTTCCCAAATCTTCCTTTCTTTTGTTTTCCATGAATATTATCTGTATCTCAAGTATTAGATTTAGGGCTAGAAAGTCTCTTTTAACTTCTGTCAATTTCTGATTGATAACCCACACTCATTTAGTATCATTCTTAGAAGTGGCTACTCAACAAACTGCCAAGGGCTATCTAATTTTCAGGCTCCTGAGTTTTTCTCTCCCAAGATTCTTTGGATCTTCTAGTCAAGTGAATATAAAGTGGTGAAAGTCCAGGAAGAACTAGGCAGGGGATTCTTCTCTCCCTCCCCAATTCTTTGTTCCAAATTCTTTCTTTATGATAACATGCATGGCCAGAAACTAACCACCCAGGCTTTTAACTTCTTTACTGCAGGGACCTCAAAGGCCCACTATTCTTATCCATACCTTACCCCAAAACCCTTCTGTAGTATAAACCTTCAAGTGGTCATCCAGACTGGGTTTGAAGACTTCCCATGAGAGTTCATTGAAGAATTCATCATTACTTGAGGAAGCCCATTCCACTTTTGCATAACTCTAATTAATAGAAAGGTTTTCTTTATATGAAGCCTAAATTTGCATCTTACGATTTCCACACTTTGCTTCTTAGTGATGCTTTCTGGGGTCATGTAGAATGAATCTAATTCATCTTCTACTGGCTAGCCCTTCAAATGCTTGTCTCTCCTTCTCTAGGCTAAGCATTCCCAATTCCTTTATCTATCCTTCATATGTGATCATCTTGGAATTCTTCACCATCCTCTGGATTCTCTCTAGCTAATCAGTGTCCTTCTCAAACTGTGGCACCAAAACCAAGCAGTATTTTCTATATGATCTGGTCATAGTAGAGGACAGTGGGACCATCAACTCCCTCCTTTGAGACATAAGGTAGAATTACTATTTTGGCTATATTATCACATAGAACTTTCAATCAACTAATACTCAGAGTTCTTTTTTTTTTGTTTGTTTGGTGAGGCGATTGGAGTTAAGTGACTGGCCCAGGGTCACACAGCTAGTAAGTATAAGTGTCTGAGGCTGGATTTGAACTCAGGTCCTCCTGACTCCAAGACCAGAACTCCATTCACTGCATCTCCTACCCGCCCCTCGGAGTTCTTTTTCAAAGAAATTATTGTCTTTAGATGATTTTCCCATCTTTTGCTTGTGAGGTTGATTTTTTGATCCCAAGTGTAAAACTATCCCTTTTTCTACTGAATTTCAGCTAATTAGATTTGTCCCATTGATCTAGCCTACAAAGATCTTTTTTAAAAAATTGAACAATTAAACAAGCTTTTATTAAGTCCTAATATGTTCTGGGCACTGTGCTAGGCACCAAAGATACAAATACAAAAAAAAATTCTTGCCCTCAAGGAGCTTACATTCTGCTGAAGGGAGGCAATGTGTAAATTTCTAATAAATCAGATGCAAAATAAGTAAAGTAATTTGTGTGTGTGTGTGTGTGTGTGTGTGTAACACTAATAACTAGGTAGGAGATGACATTTCATGTGTGGGAAACAGCAAGTATGACAGTTGACTGGAATGTAGAGTGTGTATAGCGTATAAATATGAATTAAGCCTGGAAATACAGACTGAAACCAAACTATCAGAGATGTAAATGCCAGACAGAGGAATTTGTATTTCATCTTAGAAGCACTAGAGAATCATTGAAGTTTGTTGAGCAGGAGAGTGACATTGTCAGACTCATGGTTGATGAGTATCAATATAGCAGCTATGTGGAGGTAGATGGGAGAGGGAAGAGATTGGGCACAGGAAAACTAATTAGGAGGCTATTGCAATAGTCCACTTGAGAGATGATGTGGGCAAGAACTAGAGTGATGGCTGTGTACATATAGAGAAGGGGACAAATGAGAAAAATGTTGTGGAAATAGAATCAAAAGATGTGACTAGATGGCATAAAGGGGATGAGGTAGATTGAAGAGTGCAGAATGACTCCATGAAGACTGTCACAAGACATAAAGAGATGAAGAAAAAGGATGGAGAAAAGGCCATCGGTAAACTATTAAGTGATTATTGGCAATCTTGGAGAAAAGATTTTCAGTTCAGTGGTTGGATCATGTAAAACATAGCATTTGAATTATCCTTTAAAGGATGGATAGGAATAGTACAGGCAACTATAGATAAGATTTGAAGCAGAGATCAGATGGCTTTCAGTGATGAGGAATTCAGTATCTCATCAGGCAGCCCATCTTATGTTGGAGAAAATCCAATTCTTAAGAAATTTCTCTTCATATCAACCCAACCTCTTTAGTATTCTTTTGTTTTGCTTGGTCCTAAAAGGCAGAAATAGGTAAAAAGAGGTAGATTTATGCTTTATTTAAATAAAAATTTCTAGTAATCAGAGCTATCAAAAATGAATGAATTTTCTGGAGAAATGGTGGGTTTCTCTTTTGTTGGCAATCTTCAGACAGGGACTGGGTGACCACTGGGTAGGTACATTGCAGAAAGTTTTTTTTTCTTCCAGGAGTGGCTTAGGTTAGATGGCCAGTGAGGTCGCAGAATCATAGAAACACAAGATTTAGATTTGGAGGTGACATCTGAGGACATCTAGATCAAGCGTTGTCCAGCCTTTACTTTTGGAACTCTTCAACTGGGGAGGGACCTATCCTTTTCTAGGGCATTCCCCTTCTGGTTAGCCCTAATTGTTAGGAAGTATTTCCTGACATTAAGCCTGAATTTGCCTCTTTGCAGCTTCCACCTATTGCTGTGCTGGGGCCCAGCACAAACCTAATTCTGTCTGTTATGTGACAGAATACTTGAAGACTTGAATACTTCAAATACTTGAAGACAGCTAGCCTGTCCCCACCCCCCTCAGTTTTCTCTTTTCCTTCTAGTCTAACCTGCTAATTTAACAGATGAAAAACTGTGCTACTGATGTGTTCAGTGATTTGTCTAAGGGCACACCAGTGGTAAGCAGTGGAAGTAAAGCATGTTCTTTATAGTTTGAACACAGATAAATATAAGGACTAATGCTCTTTTTAATGTTCACTTTAGTACTGAATAGAAGACCCTGGTTCTCTGGACTATGATCAGCATGAGCTGTGGGGTTTCCTGTCCCCTTTTCTTCATGTCTAGTGCAGTCACAAATTCTGAATCTTTATCCCAATTCTCTGGGTCAAACCTCTAGTGCCAATTTGCACTACAGAGGTAATACCTCCATACTTTAACAATATTTAGAGACATTTTCAAATTTTTAGATGTCTTGCTACTCATCTTCCTTTCTAACTTTTTATCTTCTTTTGATTTTTCTGCTTATGCAGGTTTTTAAATGAAATTCTTCTTGAAATCTTTGGTTTTAATCTTTTTTTTCTTATACTCCTCTGTGACTCAACTTTCTGATTCCTTCCCTTTTAGTAGCCACTGAAAGAGGCTAACCCTCAAAGGTACCTCAACCTTTTTTCATGTTGTATAATTCACTTTTTTTTTTACCAACTTCAGTCTCTGCTCCAAGTGGCTTCTTTGGGGACAGGACAGATCCCAGATGTATTCCTGTCCCCTT